AGAATTCCAGCTTACTGATAAGTAAGTTTTATGGCCGAGACATCTGGCTTACTGATAAGTAAGTTTTATGGCCGAGACATCTGGCTTACTGATAAGTAAGTTTTATGGTTGAGACATCTGGCTTACTGATAAGTAAGCTTCCCGCTCTCCCCGTAGCATTTTGTAATAGTTTAAATTAACCAATAACCGCGCTTCTGCTTCTGTATCCCGCTTCTGCTCTATAAAAGTTCCACAAACCCGACCTGAGGCGCGCAAGTCCTCCGAGGAGAGTTTGTGCCCACAGGTACCTGTGTACTAAATAAACCTCTTGCTGTTGCAACCCGAAGGCTGACTTGTCCTCTGTGGTTTCACTCTTACAATACCATTCTATTTACTTTTATTGGATTCTTAGAATGGTCATTTGGGATAATTTTTAAAAGGCAAAAGAATAAAAATGTTATACATATTTAACATATTAACATTAATAGTTAGTACTGGCATAGTGTCCTCTGAATAATTTGGAAATAGCTTTTCTCAATCACAGTTTTATTCATAGAGGATCAAAATCTATCTAGTTGATATATAAAAGATAATTATAATTTGCTGAATTAACAGCAGTTCTCAATCTTGCTATGAGTTCATGATTCTTACAATTGAGTTGATATTCAATTGCTAACATATGTTCAGCACATAAAAAGCTATGATGCCCAGTGTATTAGTTACTTTTCTCTTGCTGTGATAAGACCCCATGCCAAAGGGAACTTATCTAAGAAAGACTTTATTTGAGCTTATGGTTCTATCAGGTTAGAGTTCATAATAGTGGGGAAGGCATGGAGGCAGAGGTGGCTAGAGTAGAATGCTGAGGCATCATATCTTAAGGCATGTACAGGAAGCAGAAAGTGACTGGAAATCTAGCAAGGCCTAAGGACTCTCAATAGCTGCTCATAGTGATGGGCTTCCTCCAGCATGGCGAAACTTTCTAAGACCTCCCAAAACAGCACCACCAACTAGGAGCAAAATGTCCAAATACTTGGAGCCTATGGGTGACATTCTCATTCAAACCACCACATTCAGAATTCTGTTGCTTTCATCAAGAAGAGTTAACTGTAAAAGTTATTTAGTATCCTCTTGGTGCCTTTACACTGCTCCTGGAGTAAGAGAAACTCTATTGTCTATGAACTCCCCCCATGAACAATCATTTTTTCTAGGATGCTTATGCTCCAACAACACAAAAAGAAAATAAAAATAAATAGGAAATCAAAAACAATAATAAAGTTAGAGTTTTGGTGTTTCTGAAAAAAATCATTGCATAGTGTAAACACAGGTGGAAATATTAGGGTATTGATTAATCTAGAGATGGCTTTAAAGAACAAAATTGATTTCAAATAGCAATGACCTTATTATGAGTCCTGGTAGAGACCTGAGGAAGCAGGATTCATGGTTCTGTACATTTTCTTCAGTGGGATAACCACTGGTGAGTTGCCCCTGCTCTTGCAAATAGTCTCTCACCCATGCTCTTCTAAGCAACTCATTGAGTCATAAAAATTCAGACACAAAAATAAAAACACAAAAGTAGAAGGGGAACTATATGGGAATAAAGAGATCAATGGGTGTTGGAGTAGGACAAGAGAGGTTAATGAAGGGTCCAGTATGATAAAAATTATATAATACATAAAAATATAATGAAACCCATTATTATGCATAATTAATATATGCAAATTCAAAACAAATACAAAAATTGTTTTGGGTTAGGTGATCACAGGCAAGTCACTTAGGTTAGTGGGGAAATCAAGTGCCTTTCTTTTGCATGTTGGGGATTTGGATTAGATATTTCTTAAGAGTCATTTTGGGTTATGTAGCTCTTTGCTTTGTGAGAGACCTCATGTAACATAGTAAACATAACCATGCCCCAGAATAGAGTCAGTCATTGCTCATTATTCCCTTTTTGTTCTGAATGGTCTCCAATGACAGATCTTTTTATAGTCACCATACTCTCCCTTAAAGTAATAAGTGAAGAATTATATGCTACATATCAGTTATTATAAACCACCTCTTAGTATATTTATTCTTTCTATTTTTTCATTGTTTCTCCTGGTATTCTGATATGGCATTTTGCATATATAAAACATTTGATGGACAAGGATTAGCATTTGGGAAAGTTTCATTTTTTTACATAAGAGGTATTCTCACCAACTTAACAAAAGCAAACTCTGTGCAGTGGGAAGATAAACTATGAAGGGGTGATGGGGAAAGAAGAGTCCTCATCAATAAACTCTGTTTTTTACTTTGGCCTCCATGGAGACCATGGGCAAGTTATGATCTTTTGACGTCTTCTCAGATGGAAATTGCCACCACCTCCACCCTCATCTGGAGAGCCTTTCCAGGGAAAACAAAGGTGGATAGGTAATGGAACATGAACTTGCCATCATATTCAAATTTGGAGTCTTTCTCATATTGCAACTAATATGTTTCCTGTATACAGAACATTGCAGTTAATACAAAAATGTGTTTTTCCAAACACTACCACAGTATACCCATGCAGAAAGTGAAAGCTTGGTTTCCTTTTCCTCTATTCTCTGCTCCCGCTTTCAGCCTGACCTGGCTGTGGTCTTTGAAACAGGATCCTTTACTAGTCTTTCCCTAGGCAGATCTAGGGTTTATGTAGCCCCAAATTAGGAAATTCTGTGTGCTTTATATAAGGAAAAAACCCACAATATCTATAATACGAAAGCTATGTAATCCTAGACATGAAAACACTAATATGGTTTAGAACATGAGGAGAAATCACATCAAATAACAAATTTGAAAGAGCATTACATTCTACAACTCACAAAATTCCAAAGACATAACTTTTTGGCTTCAGGAGAGCAACTAGGAGGGGTAAGTTAGCCAAATCTTGCAGCAGTACCCATGCCCCTGCTTAGGGACCACATGCAGTTGAACCAAAGCTCACATCATTTCTGCTAGATAGTAAGAATCAGCCCATCTTGCTCCTATAGGACCTACTTTGGGACCAGCTCCAGTTGCTTTGTTCTAGGTGAAACTTCTCTACTTAGCTAGTTTCATCCAGCCCAGCTGATTTCACCACACTTCTTTAAAAATATTAAGAGAGCTGGGTGTGGTGTCACACGCCTTTAATCCCAGGTAGTTAATAATCACTGATATGTGGCATATAATTCTTCATATATGACTTTAAGGGAGAGTATAGGTGACTATGACTTAGGCCTAGACTTCTACACTCTCCTGACAAGTCTGCCTGGATCTAACCAGTCCCCCTAATAAAAAAATCAAAAGCAATAAGAAGAAGAAGCACAGATAAACTAGTCATACCTGATCAGAAAACCAAATTACATAACATGGTAAACAGAATCAAGCTTCAACACAACAACGGCAGGCCCAAGGTACATAACAGCATACAACCAACAAAAGAAGACTATGGTTGCACACACTATAATGAAATAAAACAACAACAAATAATGTGAAAAAAAAATAATATGTCCACAGTAAACCCCAATGTCCCATAGAAGTAATCCACAATGGGAACTAACTAATGGTCCCCCAAGACACAGAGTTTAAAGCAACAAGCATAAAAATGATAAAAAAAAATTCGTTGCTTCCCTGGGCCTGCAGGACCCACTGCAAGCCTCTCTCCTACCCACAGGCCTTTCTCCAGAGTAAGTCCATTTTGCCTTCCGTGCCTTGACTCCCCCAGCCTCATTAACCCTCCTATCTCCACCACCATTCTCTCTGCTGAGCTTGGGCCCTACCCCATTCTTTATCTTGGGGCCCCAGACCCGGGGGAACCAATAAGGCTTCCTGATCATTTTCA